CGTATAAGAATTGTGACCTGTACAGAGTCCACAAACAATTGTGGACGGACAGACAGACGGATGGACAGGGGCAACGGCATAATACGTCCACATGAAAATGTGGGCGTATAAAAATTGTGACCTCTTTTGGGTCCACAAGCTAAAAACAAGATTTTTCGTACAATCAGGGGCCTTAATTCAGGAAGTTATGGTCCGATATGCGCGAATATCGAAAGGAACCGAGATCTGTGGGTTATAAATACACATTTCAAGTTTAAACCAAATCGAATAAAAATTGTGACCTCTACAGTGTTCACAAGCTAAAAACGTGATTTTTCGTACAATCAGGGGCCATAATCCATGAAGTTACGGTCCGATACGTGCCAATATCGAAAAGAACCGAGATCTTGGGGAGATAAACCTACATTTCAAGTTTCGTTGAAATCGGATAAGAATTGTGACCTGTATAGTGTTCACAAACAATTGTGGACGTCCGGACAGACGGACAGGGGCAACAACAATATACGTCCATATGAAAATGTGGGCTTATAAAACATGGATAATCGAGACTATGTTTTTTATCCTACCGACTTTAGTAATGATGATCGAGGCTAGCCCCAATATTCAATCACTAAAATCTTGGTTCCTAGTGAATCAATTTGACTGAAATTTTCAGCCAATTGCTTTTACATTATCTACTTCTTTTGCCTGTTTGTATTTACTTGTCATGTACATATCGTGTGTATGTAATTATAATGTTTGTGCATATATGTACCTGGTAAGTCAATAGACCTAAAGTAATAAAGAATTGGATATCTGCTTTGCATTCAATTTTCTCAATTTTGAGAGCAAATGAGTGGGTCAAGCTGTTTGACAGCTCTACATATATATAGGAAATTATAGCACATGGAATTCATGTTTTGCATATCAAGCTGTGCTACTTTTCTAGCAACATAAGCGGATTGGTTGGGTAAAATAATCAATAATAATTGATGATGTGAGAACTTTAGAATTTGCATATCTATTTTAATGGTGGTTGAATATTTTATTAAACAAATGAAATTTCTTATCTCTGCTGAGCCTAATGAGAAAATGCTCAACATCGAACTCAGGTAAAGAGTCTTAACCTTAAGAACATCTACACCAAGATTGACAAACCCATGTTAATAGTCCCCTTTCAGAAAATTGTAACATTATCATTATCTATTTATTTATGAAAAGATGAGGATATCAAATAATCTGAAATTAATGTATTCTAAAAGATCACAATGTTAGTGTGGATATCTAACTTATTTCAAGCAAAGTAGCAAAGAAAACAACATTTCACTGTATCATTTTAAAATCGTATTGTGTTTGGGGGGGAGGGGGGGGGATGTAATGTGACAATTATCTGGTCCAAATGATGATGGGGAATAACATCTACTTTATGGGTTAACACTTCCACCTGCAGTATGTCTAAAGTTTAAATTAAATATTCTGAAAGTTATTGGGATTTATCTCTCATATTTTACGATGTCCTTTAAGTCTACCCCACCCCCTCGTATACTTTCCATATTTTTCATTCTATCCAAGCATACTAACCTAATGCCCTTCCATTAATATATCCTGAATCTCTGAGAAATACTGATGTTTTATATTTAACACAGTGGGTATGTTTATCTTCACAATCATCTACATTATCTTCATTTTCTTCGGCTGAATAATAATCTAAACATCCAACACCTTCTAGTGTTGTACACTGATGACATTGAATACATGTACCTGATAAAATAAAAAAATAGGTTGCCAGGCAATGAAACACGCTCACAGCAATTAATAGTAAGTGCAGAGGGAGCACACCACATGGACAAATACAAAAGACAAACCTACGGACGGGACACAATATACAGACACCATAAACAACAATGGCACATATCAGAATAAGTAAATGGATCCAAGCAGTCTACAAAAGTTGTCGCATATTTATTCTTTTGTAACTAATGGGAACATGTACAAGTCACTAAAAATTGATCAAGAGTAACAACCCATGATGCAAATATCTGCAATAATTGACAACAATATATAACCATAGTGCAATATGGGTGTAGAAAACAAAATCCAACAGCAAGGCTGATGTCGGCTGCCCCACACTTTGCCCCGCCCTCCCCGACAACCACACACACAAAATCTAGAAGACAGTCATTAATTACTTGCAAATTTATCTTTTCATTATGTATCTAGCAATCAAATTGTTTCACCACTCCTCATCAATTATAAGCAGAGTTATTGTGTTCAAAATGCTCAGACAATCAAAATACTTATCACTGCTTTCGCCATGAGCTCAACATGAGATTCACATATCTAACATCTACCTCAATTAGAAGCAGAGTTATTGTTTTCTAAAGGGTGTGATGGCAGATATGTTGGCTGCTTAGTCTCGGCTAAAAATGCTGATCTCCGAACTCAGTCAAGACATTCATCTAATGAACATCTACACCAACTCTGAAATTCTACCTTAACGACAAGCAGAGTTATTAAGTCTCAAAAAGTGTGACGTGCAGACAGACAATTAAACTAATAGGGGATGAAGGAAAGAGGGAACTAAAGTGTAATCAACTCCGGGTACAAGGGGTCTTTAATTGTACGAGGGAACTGGAGAAAAGATGCCCTGTTTTATAAGTGCAAGATCGACACCACAAAATTATTGAAAGAGCTACATGTATGATCCAACCACATATACAAAACCTCTGGTATGTGCCGTGTAAATCAATATTTTAAATTAGAATTTCTAATTCACCTGCATATAATAATTTCCCCCTTTCAGATTACTGGAAGACATATACATAAATAGTGGATCGAAAGGAATGAGGATACAGATAAATATTGACTATGTACACATGCTAAGAGTTTGGTTAAACATACATTATGCAAGAGCTAAATCTATTTTAGACCTGAAATAATATATAAACTATTAGACATTTATTAACATAAAAAGATCATAATAAATTCTCAATGCCATCTTATGTGTCTGATTTTCATTGGATTTGAATCCGATCTGCTGTTCAATGCTCATTGATGATTAAATGCAAAAAAGCATAATCCTACCGACTTAAGTAATGATGATCGAGGCGAGGCCTAAAATTCAATCGCTAATATCTTGGTTCAGAGTGGAGCAATTTGACTGAAATTTTCAGCATATTCACTTTACATTATCTAGTTTGTGACCATTAACTATTACATGCATGTGCCTTGTAGAATATATATAGGAGCCAAGGTGGCCCAATATTCTGGTCTCATCAAACATCCTATTCTATAGATGTTACAATAGCTGTAGAAATATTATTGCCAGGAGCAAGGGTTGGTCAGGTTGGAACCTGGGACCACTAAAGTTTAATAATGGGGTCCAATTCATCACAATACAAAGAGTACATCATATCCACATTTCTCCAACCAATAAGGCAGTTTAGCAATTAGCATGTGTGAATAGGTTTTAATTGAGAACAGTATTCAAAAAACTGGATCACTAACCAGGAGGTCCGGGTAGGTACATGTAGGTGGGGTATTGCAAGCAACAACATGAACATCCCTTTAATCGTACAAAAAACCAAAGTCCTGTTATGCACGTAAATGTGAAAAGTAATTTTCCTTATAGCATATGACATACATGTATGCCCGTCTTCATTATTTTGATTGGTGAACAAAAATAGGACAATAAACCCCATTTTATTTCAGAATACATGTACTCTTACCGATATGAGCAAATATACAGAATTTTTACACTAGTATTATTCTAAACAGGAATTTCTAGTTTATAAGTCCATGTGTGATTGATATACAGTGCATGATGCTTTGGGTCTTTGCCAGATGACTCTTTTGGCAGCTACATTGTACATGTACAGTCATTGTTTTTTAAGGCAAGCGATCGCTCTCAAGCACCTGCTGCTCACCTGAATGTCGACTGAGGGGAGTTTTTTTCCCTCCCCTTAAAACTGAAAATCGCTCTCCTTTACATAGTCATTGGGGGTTTATTATCATTTATGAAACCAGGAATGACCCCATTACATGCAGTTATTGATCTTGGAATCATTTCCCATGCACATAACTATAATCACTCTCCTTAATTTCAGATCACTCTCCTTAATTTCTAAATCACTCTTCTTAACAAAACTGGGAGAGTTTTTTGAGGGGAGCATTTTTTCAATTCGTTGATTGAAATACAAACACCAACGACTGCATGTAGATATCTGAACCCGTCCACCATTAGGCTATCATTACCTGTATTACAAGTGCAACAAGAAAGAGAGAGTGATGAAAGGTATTTAACATCCTCTTGACACAAACGGTTCAGCCATATTTTGATTTAATCTAAAAATGGAGGAGTGAGGCTTAGCTTTGAACAACCAGTACGGGGGTTGAAATTATTGCACACGTCTTGTCAATTAACCTTCAAAGGCTAATATCTTCGCTCGCAATTGAGTAATTTGAATGAAATTTTCAAATTATTCATTTTACATTATCTATTTTCAAACTATTATAGCAAGAATGGCTAGCTCTTTATCTAAATCTTCCATAATGTATCTTTAATTAAAGACAAATTTGATTACCATCATTATGACCCATCAGCATATTGGCATACCTTGAAAATCAGTTTGGAAAGACTATTATTCATTATAAACAATTTGTACATCTGACCCGTAAAATAATGGTCAGATCTATGTACATGTTGACGCATCCATTTATACAGGTATGCCTGCCTATCTTTCTCTGACACACCTGCTTTCGTTGTTTAGGCTACGGTTTGTAGGCCTATATATTTTGATTAACAGATGAAAAAATGAACTTCCTAATCAACTCACCTAATCTTACTAAAAGTGAAAAAAGACACAATATTAGCAAATACTTCAACATTTTGTCAAAAAAACTTTCGAAAGTATTTAACAGAATTCATGCATATAGATTTAATGAAACTGCGCCCTCTATGGGACAGGTAATATTAATAAGAGTCGTCTCCCTTCCTACAAATTACCAACCACACAACAATATATAATTGATGAATTTTTATTAAAATAAATCTGTTTTTATTTATTATATAAAAATATATGTTAGTAGAAAAATGGATGGATAATATAATGTATGCATATATGAAAAATTATATTAAAATCTTTGAAATCTACTTTTAAATTTAAAATACAAGTGTATCTGTAGACAATGCATCCTCGGTATCCCCAGTGGTTTCATTCCGTTCTACTCCACTAACCCCTGGGTTAATCGGGGGGGGGGCACGTTTTCAAGTTATCCGCCCTTGATGGTTGTGCTATTTTTATCGACCAATCCCATAAATCGTAAATTGAAAAAGAAGTTGGCAAAGGGAAGTAACTCTCAGTGGACAAGGCTAGGAGTTCGCCTAAATGAGAAAAGTCCAAATTTTTCTAAACACGTACTTATTAACAACAAATTATATAATATTATATTAATGTGTAGGTTCAAGAGTTCTATTGAGAATCGTTCGTTCGCGGAGTTTTACGTCCACCTGATAACCTAAACAGGTTATTGTGAATGTTGTTGTTCTTAGTGTTTAACGTCCGCTTCCACCGAAGGTGATATCGCAGACAAGTCTTATTTTTATTATCTTAGCGCACGCGCAGGGGTCTTTCCTGTGGGAGGAAACTGGAGTACCCGTATTAAACCCACGAGGTTGAGATGGCACCGCTATCTCTTAGCCACATACGCTCACACCAAGAATCGAAACCGCAGCCGCGAGCCAGAGGTGATCGGCTGGATTAACCCAGGTTATAGTGGAGTAGAACGGAATGAGAACACTGGGGATACCGTGGACAATGTAGCTTAGAAATTACTTGATAAAACAACACCGTGTTGCTTTATAATTTATATTTCTTTCAAAAGTTATGTACGGGTGATATTGAAAATGAAAGAAACATTATCATGAAGAGTTCGTGTATAAATGAGGATTGGAAACCTTATGAATTATTTATAGATATTTCATATATTATCATTGCATTTTCATTTTTTTGTACAGACTAATTTTGGGGAATAGTCAGATATGATAGGGCCTATACAATACCTGACTTGTCTTAATTAGTTGAATATCTTATTCTAATAAATTGATAACATTGTAATAACATAAATATTATGTTATGGGGTGTTAATCAATTATTGTGAAATAGAGGTGAAGCCAGAATGACCAGCAATAAACTTTAAAGATTTCTACACTAAACTGTGATCCAATTAACTTGGAAGAGTAACATGTATATTCCAAATTGTTATAACCGCGACAACATATAAACATTCTCATAGAAGATTTCTCACAGTTCACCACAATCCGGAGCACTGAATACCAATGATTGGTTACATACTCCAAATAAAATGTCAGATGTTAATGTAACACGGTATATAAAATGAAATGAAATGAAATGGAATCAACATCGACTCTGCTCATTATTAAGAGTTATCTGCCAGGAAAGTAAACCCAGATCGCGAGGTACATATTCACTATGAAGGAACATTATATATCAACGGTGATTTCCAAAATTCACTGCTGCAAAATATTAAATTCAAAATGTTCGGCCAACTTTGATTGTGGGCAGACTAAGGGGTGTTTGGCAAGTATACTACACGCAATTGTTTTCGACATCACCCAATAAAAACCTTATGTTTCCCACATTTATCCAAGGAAATATTTCAACAATGGTACACCAGTTAACACAATAGCAAGTACCCCTTTATGTAATACTTGGTTGTCGGCACTATTACACCCATTCGTGTAACAATAACACTGCTCCGTATAACCACCGTTATTCGTCTGTTTGTAACATCCCGCATCACGAATTTTCGATGTTGCTGTCTTCCTAATACATAACTTTGAATAATACTCAGAACCTAAAATTGAAAGACAATATATTAAATGATTTCCTATTCTATATTAATTATGATCTGCACAATAAATCATTAAGATATGGTTTATGGTTCTTAAAGTGCATCTTTAAGATTGGGGAAAGTAACCCGGCCCATGGTCATCGCGAAAGAGCCGAGAAGGGTGTTGGGTAACTCCGGGACAGAATTGGGGACAATGAACAATGGTCGAAATATACATTGTTGATTAGAAAACTTACTTCTTACTGAATATACATGACATAACGCTCATGTTGTAATATACATTGTTTCAATAGTGTTCATTATAAACACAAATATAAATCTATTTGTCGTGTAATGCAAGTTAATTTCTCAAATAATTCAATGTCATCTAACCACCCAGGCTGTATTAAACAAGACCTGTTCATCCTTAAAATCAGACAAAAATGATAGGAGGGTCTACAATCCTCATACATATTTTACATTTGAGTAAAAAGCAGGAGTTATAACTCTAGAATGAAAGGTCTGATGCGTACAAAATCGAACTTATCCAAGAACTTTTGACCCTTAGCACAGATTAATATTTGTCGCGTCTGGAGGGTCCACACATAACACCAGGACAGAAGGTCCGATGCACACCAAAATCGAACTCATCCAATAACTTTTGATCCTTAACACGTATTTTAAATGTCCACAACTTCAATGGAGGTCATTCTTCAGGTCTTACAATTTATTTTCTATAACTTTGTAAAGTATACACAGTTAGTTAATTCACGCGAATGTCACTTTATACTGTATTTCAAAATAAAACCTATAGTTTACATTTTAGAGCTATACTCAAGCCAAGTAAATTCCATAAATAGGTGAATTCACTTACTTCTTTCGTTTAACCAGCTTTCATGATTTACTATCTTGGTATACGTCTTAAGACAGGCTTCGCAATCTGTGACATTTCGGGGATTATCACAGTTATTATTGGCTCCTTTCACTTTTATGTTACATTGAATACAGTTGACGGCATCTGAAAAACATCATTAGAGGATTATACTTTTGGGGCGGAAACAAAAGACGATATAAATACGAGCTAGGTCTTAACTATGGTGCGTTCTTCTTGCACTTATTATTATTGTCTGAAAACAGACAAAATAATATCCTGGACATAATAAACAACTCGTGCCCCATCCCCATACACAGCAATATATTATTATTAGACACAGCACGTAACGTATTATTGTACATAATAAGCATTAGCACAATATAATGAGGGACACAATGGACAATGGCAGATCGGACAAAATATATACAGATTACACGCAATGATATATCAGGCAAAATACATATCGTGTCTCATATACAATAATTCTGCACGATACCTAACAAAGTATATGAGAGGTGAATATATCATTTTCTTCTAGAGGTATTTAGTAACTGGATTGAGCAATAAAATATAACACATAAGTATGTGTATGTGTGAATTTTACTAACATAACTTAATAATTCCGATTAGTCGCTAGAACTTATGGTTTTTTTTAAGCTTTTAACGTTATTTTATCTGGATTATCTCCCTTATTATTGTGATTTTTTATCACCTTCTAAGATATGACGTCATTCTCAGTCAGCAGACGGCTGTCCCTCGAGACAGTCTACATTTCCTACTTGCTTCTCTGTATTCAGTTTTGTTTTTGTTTTTTGTGACTATGGAACATGTACCCTATATGTATTAAATACTGAAGCGTTTCTTTATTGAATTTAAGAGTTTAGACTACTTTTTTATACTTTCCATCCATGTGGTTACTTGTATAGTTGAATTTTACTACATATGCTTACATTCGTATTTCGTGTAGGCATTACACAATGGGTTCTTTGGGATGAATTCCTAATTGTTTTCAAATTTGAGTGAAGTCTGTGTCACTACAGACCCGGGACTGTACAGCGCAGTGGACGCTTACGGCTAGCCCCTGGATCCATTCACTTTTTTTTTAATTGTCTGTATGTTTGTGTTTTCCTGAGTATGATGTTTTGTCCGTGTATTTGTCTTTGTGTAAATTTTGTGTGGTGCAGTCCCCCTGGACTTACTATTAAAATGGCTAGCTCTCTTCGATCTGTGTTAAAATAAATTATTATTAATCATAATAATATGTCCATTTATAAAGCGTTAAATTCACCAAACGTGTCCATGGAGCATAGTACACGGGTGTCTAATAATAATTTAACACAAACAGTTTCTTTTTCAAGTCAGATTTGAATTGATTGTGTGATGGGCTTCTGTGGAGGTTTAGAGCTAGTTTATCCCCCTTGGAAAGAGCAACCACTAAACGACTTTAACTTCAACCGAGGAACACAAATTTATTGATTTATTATAATTTTGTGTCCATTTGTTTTGTGGAGTGATGGTTTGTCCCAATTCTATATAGCATGACCACAGATAGGACCAATGCTGGGACATAATAGATTATGCGATCAGGTTTTGACAAACATTATAAATAAACAAACCCAACCTCCTGAATATCTCAAAGCACCCTAATCGTGTGAGCTTATCCCATCACTAATTGAAACAACACATCAGTGCAACCCAATTTTATGATTTTTTGAAATCCAGATCAAAGAGGTTACCCTTAAGAAAAGTAAATCGAACCAGAAAAGATCACCTACTACAACATGGTGTTCTCGGAACTGCATAATGTGTTTCACTTCAAACTCGAAGGCGGGTTGTAATAATTGTAGGAATTGTTTTAAGTTCACATATTGTTTGTGAAGAAAAGTGAAGTCTTATGGTATTAGACTGACCAACGGACATCTGCTAAAGAATGCATTGACCTTTCATAATAGAATGAAAACAGAGAAAAACAAATTTATTTAAACACAAGGAATGTTTGGTTGACTTTAAGAAAACGTGTTTATGTTCTCATTTATGTAATTAAGTCTTGAAAAAATATATAAAAAGAAGGACGCAGATCGTCTAGTATATTTACAAAGCGTATCCTACTTACATCGTTTGATGTATCTGCTATGCTATAGTCACGGTTAAAATGAAAGAACCCGCAACACTAATCTCTGGTATGCGGGTTTTTGGGTTGAACCTTGAAATAACATTAAAGATATATTTCCTCAAAAGTCCTATTCTAAATACACAACTATCGATTAGAAAACGTATCCAAACTATGTCAAATATTTGTCACTCAAAAACATTGTTTACATTTTTCGAGGGGCTTCAAATGAAACTTGCTCTCAATCAAAGATTTTAAATTTAGACGTCATGTTTTACCTTGCACGATGACGAAAGGAATAGCCCTGACGTAATGCATGTGCTAAAATGTAGCAGGGCACAGGCAGTCGAACACATTCCTTACCAGGGAATGGTCATAGACCAAATGCCGTTTCAGGACTGACAGCAGATTACAGGCTATAGATCAAACAGTACAGCGAATGACAATAGACCAAATACGGATACAGGGACTGACAACAGATCAAATACGGTACATTGAATAGCAATTAATACAGTACGGGGACCGGCAATAGATGAAATACGGTACGGAGAATGGCAATAGACCAAATACGGTACAGGGAATGACAATAGATCAAATACGGTACAGGGAGTGGCAATAGATCAAATTTCGTATAGGGACAGCCAATTGACTAAATACCGTACATGAACTGGAAATAGATGAAATACGGTACAGGGAATGGCAACAGACCAAATACGGTACAGGGACTGGCAATAGGTCAAATACGGTACAGGTCTGGCAAATACATTGCCAAGTACAGTATATTACAGTACAGACTGACGTCATGATTGCGTCAACACAATATTATTATGTATGCCTTTTCAAATTTCATTAACGTGTTATACATAGGACCCAGCTTAACAGCGTTTGCTAAATATTTGACGGACCACGTTGGATCGATATTACAAATTTCAATAAAAATTGGTTTATTTTATGACAATTATGAAAATAGTAAGCCTATTATTGTAATTTTATCTAAAATAACACATTACCGATGGTATATGGTTAAATGGAAGCAAAATCAGACTGTTAAATATTTCCTTAATATTATCTATATTGTGACCAATAAATTGTCAACCATAAAGCTGTCTGTTATTATATATCGCTTTCATTATCCCGTCAAGCTGTTTAACGTTTAGGTCATCGCAATTAGTTGTACTTTTATTATCTCCTTGCGATAATGACAGAGATTATTTTCAAGATCCCCCAAAAGCTTACATCCGGAAAAACATGTGATAAAACGCAGAATGAGGAACATCGTGTTTACAAAATGTTTTAACATATTAGTGCAAAAATACAGCTTGTCTCTTTTTTCCATTCCCAACTATTTTCTAATGTAACTGCATAGCTTGCATATAGTTTTAAATTATATGATTAATCGATGAATGATTTGTAGCGAAGTTAATATTTATAAACATTCCTCTGACCCGTTTTAGGTCATGTATACAGGTAACTTTCAGTTCATTTCTACGAAGACCTAAAAGCAGAGTTTGTTCATTTAAAGTAACGACGCGTGATTTGTATTTTCCCGAATATATTATTTACCCACGACATAATCCATGCTAATATTCACTCAGATTGATTATTTAAGAAAATGAAATCAGAATACTAACGTTAGGTAATCTCTTGGCTTTGGATTCGATCGGATTAAAAACCAAATTGTTTCACGTCAAATAAAGATGACGGTATAGATGGATGTGATTTTCAGTTCAAGTCTTTGTAAATACTCAACGGTATTTAACCATTTTGGACTGAAATTCATATTAGGGATTCGGCGTTCACAATATTGTAATTTTTTTAATGGATTATAACGCTAAACTCACGCATTATAATCTTCAAAAATGTCACATTTTACGGTTGGCTGAACATTTATTTAACATAATCCTTGAGCGGCATTTAACGATTGAGCACAATAAAAATATTTAACAATTTAATTTAGAGTATAGTATTAAAAACAAGTTAAGTATTCAAGTACCTTGTATCCTAATTTCAATCAGTTAGTCTAGGTCACGTAATTCAAGTTATTAACACGTATATGTCTTAAATTGTTTCCAAGATTTCGTGTTTTGACTTAAGTATCTGCGGCGACTGATTTAGGACACGCAAAATAAAATAATATCTCGAGCGCTCGGGATAAAACTAAGTCGGGCGCATGAGATACTAACTCGAGCGCTCGAGAAAGTTAAGTCGAGCGCTCGAGATAGTTAAGTCGAGGGCTCGAGATAGTTAAGTCGAGGGCTCGAGATAGTTAAGTCGAGCGCTCGAGATAGTTAAGTCGAGGGCTCGAGATAGTTAAGTCGAGGGCTCGAGATAGTTAAGTCGAGCGCTCGAGATAGTTAAGTCGAGGGCTCGAGATAATTAAATCGAGCGCTCGAGATACTAGGTCGAGCGCTCGACATAATACAATCTAACACGTCTCAACCGATGTTTTAAGCTGTATAATTTTGTGCATTATTTAATGATAAACGTGAAGAATAAAGATATTCATTTGTTTGTTTTTACAGCCGATCCAAAGCTGCAGTGACGGAGCGCACCCCCACCCCCAACACACACACACACACACACACTCCATCCCATGCTCATCGTCATCACTAAATATTTCCCGTTATATTTACCCCCTATCATGTGGGGAGTATATCGCATGTTATTATACGAATCAATAATTGTATATATCGAGATTACAACGTTTTGCTAGGGGAGACTGACATTTCCTCTTATTTAGAAGCTCGGTTTATTTATTTAATATGTAGGAACTGATCATTGCCTAATTTACCTTGGCGCAATCGTGCCGAGCTTCTACATTCAACTTGCGAAATTTGTTCGAAATTTATGATCTTTAACATAGGCGTAGGAGGTGTGTGTGTGTGTGGGGGGGGGGGGGCTGTGGAGAACCGTTCGTTTTTCGGGCAACGTATTTCCGTCTTTCGGTCACAAACCACAGAGAATAGGGAACATTAAGCTGTTCTTAGCTTAGCATATTGTAAATATATATTGTTGTGTAATTGTGTACTTAATT